GTTAGTGGTCCCTGGGATCTAAAATTATGAGTTTGGTGGTCCCTGAGGTCCAAAAGGTTGGCAACCCCCGGACTAGATGACCCACAAGATCCCTTCCAACTCTGTTAATCTACACTGCTCAAAAAAATAAAGGGAACACAAAAATAAGACATCTTAGATCTGAATGAATGAAATATTCTTATTAAATACTTTGTTCATTACATAGTTGAATGTGCTGACAACACAATTACACAAAAATTATCAGTGGAAATCCAATTTAGCAACCCATGGAGGTCTGGATTTGGAGTTACACTCAAAATTAAAGTGGAAAAAAACACTACAGGCTGATCCAACTTTGATGTAATGTCCTTAAAACAAGTCAAAATGAGGCTCAGTAGTGTGTGTGGCCTCCACGTGCCTGTATGACCTCCCTACAATGCCTGGGCATGTTCCTGATGAGGTGGCGGATGGCCTCCTGAGGGATCTCCTCCCACACCTGGACTAACGCATCCCCCAACTCCTGGACAGTCTGCGGTGCAACGTGGCGTTGGTGGATGGAGCGAGACATGATGTCCCAGATGTGCTCAATTGGATTCAGGTCTGGGGAACGGGCGGGCCAGTCCGTAGCATCAATGCCTTCGTCTTGCAGGAACTGCTGACACACTCCAGCCACATGAGGTCCAGCATTGTCTTGCATTAGGAGGAACCCAGGGCCAACCGCACCAGCATATGGTCTCACAAGTGGTCCGAGGATCTCATCTCGGTACCTAATGGCAGTCAGGCTACCTCTGGCGAGCACATGGAGGGCTGTGCGGCCCCCTAAAGAAAAGCCACCCCACACCATTACTGACCCACTGCCAAACCGGTCATGCTGGAGGATGTTGCAGGCAGCAGAACCTTCTCCACGGCATCTCCAGACCCTGTCACTTCTGTCACATGTGCTCAGTGTGAACCTGCTTTCATCTGTGAAGAGCAGGGCACCAGTGGCGAATTTGCCAATCTTGGTGTTCTCTGGCAAATGCCAAACGTCCTGCACGGTGTTGGGCTGTAAGCACAACCCCCACCTGTGTACGTTGGGCCCTCATACCACCCTCATAGAGTCTGTTTCTGACCGTTTGAGCAGCCAGATGCACATTTGTGGCCCGCTGGAGGTCATTTTGCAGGGCCCTGGCAGTGCTCCTCCTGTCCCTCCTTGCACAAAGGCGGAGGTAGCGGTCCTGATGCTGGGTTGTTGCCCTCCTACGGCCTCCTCCACGTCTCCTGATGTACTGGCCTGTCTCCTGGTAGCGCCTCCATGCTCTGGACACTACGCTGACAGACACAACAAACTTTCTTGCCACAGCTCGCATCCTGGATGAGCTGCACTACCTGAGCCACTTGTGTGGGTTGTAGACTCCGTCTCATGCTACCACTAGAGTGAAAGCACTGCCAGCATTCAAAAGTGACCAAATCATCAGCCAGAAAGCATAGGAACTGAGAAGTGGTCTGTGGTCACCACCTGCAGCACCACTCCTTTCTTGGGGATGTCTTGCTAACTGCCTCTGCTTTCCACCTGTTGTCTATTCCATTTGCACAACAGCATGTGAAATGGATTGTCAGTCAGTGTTGCTACCTAAGTGGACAGTTTGATTTCACAGAAGTGTGATTGACTTGGAGTTACATTGTGTTGTTTAAGTGTTGTTTATTTTTTTGAGCAGTGTATATAATCAGTTACTGTTTTTGATCCAAGTCTCTTCTAATCTGTACTTCTACCTTTGATTTTTTTTCCTGCCTAAATGGCTGCACTGGGCCTGGGAATTCTGAGAGTGAAAGAAAGTCCACCTATATTGAAGTTGCAAAGTTTGAAAAAAGTTGCTTTGACTCCTACAATTCCCTTATAAAATGCCTTGCGGTTGAATTCTAAGCCTTCTACTGCTGATCCCGGAAAAGGTTAATTCCATTATCAGGCATGGAACAGAAAGTGTATTAATTACAGATGTAAATAGTTCAAGGCAGATCCAGGATCCACAAAGCCTCTCTTTTTTTCTCTCTCTCTCTCATTTTCTTAACAGGTATCAAGTACCAAACCCCATTGGTTCCTTTCTTCTTCCGAAGCACCAGCGTAAGTTTTCACTTTTTGGTCAGGTACAGATAGTTCTCGACTTACTTACGACTACAGTCGAGCCCAACCTTTCTGTTGCTAAGCCAGTCGGTTGTTCAGTGAATTTTGCAACTTTATGAGCTTCCTTGCTACCGTTGTGAAGTGGATCACGGTAGCTGTTAAGTCACTGTTGTGGCCCGCCAGATTTGGACAGTGACGAGGTTGGGGAGGAACACGGGCCAGTCCTGGAGTCGGGGGAAGGCTCTGACGAGGGCTCTGTGTCGGAGGCAGAGATGGGGCCAGTGTCGTCCAACGGTTATCAGCTGTCTTCAGAGTCGGAGATCGGTGGGGTAGAAGAACAGCTGGAGCCTGTTCCCAGTGTGCTCATGCACAGAGCTGCCAGATGAAGGGAACAGCTAAGGAACAAGGGTTGACTTGGGAGTAAAGGCTCAGGTGGACGGTAAATGGCCCCTCCCATAGGGAATAAAAGAGGAGTGAAGGGGGGGGGGGTTTGCAGGAGACAATTAGTTCAATTGGGTGAAGATCTGCTCCTGCATTCTTGCCAAGTATTGTCTGCTACAGTGTGGTGTCTGAAAGATTACGGCCTGGCAACTCTCCAAGTCTGATAAAGGTCCGTAACTGTGAAATACCTTGGAAGACTGTTTGCTGGGACTAGGTTGGGGCATGGAACAGAAGTTGCCTTTGGGAGTCGTGGGACCTTCATCACTGGAGGTTTTTAAGAAGAGACTTATCTGAAATGGTGTAGGGTCTCCTGCGTGGGTGGGTAGGGTGGACTAGATGACCTCGCGGGGTCCCTTCCAATTCTATTAATCTGTTATCAAATGAAATATATATCTCCCCGTATATACATGTTTTGTTTTTATACTTCCGACTCGGTTATTCTGTTATTACTCTGTTATTCAGAAGTTGTGGGAGCTTTCAAGGAGATGCTAAACTGCCCTCTGTCAGAAATGGTGTAGGGTCTGCTTGGCTGGGGGTGGGGTGGGTGGGGGTTGGACTAGATGACCTACGAGGTCCCTTCTGACTCTGTTGATCTGTGTGCATGTTAATCTGGACGACCCGAATCCGGACACTGCACGAGCAACTGGGCCTGTCTTGTCCCCTTGTCTTTCAGAAGGACGCCATCGCTTTTGGGAACACGGCCGACTCCCAGGAGGCGCGGAGACCGTCCGAGGAGGTTCAGGTGTACCCCGAAGGCAGGAGAAGCCTCCAGTCCAACGTAAGTCCTGGCTGGAACGGAGAGATCTTTCCTCCAGGCAGCTATGACCAGAATCTAACAGGTTAAGCTGCGTGTGGTCGCCTGAGGGCGAATTGGGCGTCGAATATAATTTAATGACTAAAACAAATACAATAAATCCCTAAAGAGGGGCTTGAAACATCTAACCTCTTAAGGGATGCAGTTGTTGAGTCACAACTCAATCTTAACAACTTTTTTTTTCTCGTGGTCGTTAAGCAAATCCAGCTTCTCCCATTGCTTGTCAGAAACCCCCTGGGAAGCTGCAATTCCGACGACATGACCGACCCTGAGGATGCTACAATGGTCATAAGTGTGAATAAGGGTCATGGTTCTCTTTTTTCACTGCCTTATTGTAGTAATGAACAACTTTGGTCATTAAAGAAAATGGTTGTAAGTCAAGGACTACCTGTAATGGGGACTGTCTTTTCCTTCCTTCCTTCCTTCCTTCCTTCCTTCCTTCCTTTTCCTTCATTCTTTTCTTCTGTCCTACATTCTTGCTCTCCTTTCTTCTCCCTCCCTCCCTCTGTCCCTCCTTCCTTCCTTCCTTCCTTCCTTCCTTCCTTCCTTCCTTCCTTCCTTCCTTCCTTCCTTCCCTCCCTCCCTCCCTGCAGAAGTCGTGGCTGCTCCATCACTGGAGATTTTCATGAAGAAACTGCACAGCCACCTGTGTGAAATGGTATAGGGGGTTGAGCAGGGGGTTGGACTAGAAGTCCTCTAAGGCCCCTTCCATTGTGTTATTCTATATGCTATATTCCTCTTTATTTTCTCTGCCAATTCTTAAATTCTCACTTCAGGATATACAATAAAAACTGAACTCAAAAACAGAGATAGAAACGGAAAAAAAATTTGTTTTCTTCCTGGCCTCTTTTCTTCACTCTCTCTCCCCAGCTGGTATAGCTTAATAAATGATTGGGCAAAACCATTTACTAATATATATATTATCTAGCAAAGGACCGATAAAATGTTGGTTGGGGCCAGATGTGGCCAGAGGACCCTGGGGAGAAATTCAACATGGTCAAAAACCAGGTGGCAGCTGTAAAACAGGCATAGAAATGTTCGATGAGATGACAATCGGCTTCAATGCAGGTCATGCCAACATGTTCTCTCCTAATAAACCTTTTGAAGTTTTTGAAGTTTGGCTTGAGGCTCATGGTTTAAGGAGGGCAACTGCCGGAATCCTGACACCAGGATAGCATGAAGTATTTCAATCTCGCTTTTCTGCTCCTCCTAACTTCTTATTCTTTCTTGTTTTTCCCATACAGGCAGGAGCCCCGCTTGCCGAGAGCGGCCATTCCGCATCCCTCAAGGTGAAGACTTAAAACCGTGGAAGTTTAAAAATTTAAAAGCCCGTTGCCCCTTTTTTTCTGCAAAGAAAAGACAGGCGTGAGAGGGTTCTTGCAAACTGTCTCCCCCGTTGTGTCTTCCTAGCCCAAAACGCACAGCTTCAAAACCCACAGCTTCTCGGCCCCCACCAAGTGCATGCGCTGCACGTCGCTGATGGTCGGGCTGGTCCGGCAAGGCCTGGCTTGTGAGGGTGAGTGGCATTTTGTTGGGCACAATAGATGGGTAGGAGGGGTGGGGGGCAAGGAAAGGGGGCCAGGTTGGGAAAGACTCCTGTCTGGAGTTCCAGAGGCCCCCAAAACTGAGACCAAAGCTCTATAATGGGAATCCTGTCTGACACGTTTTCATTTTGGTGCATGAGGACTAGAAACTTAACTGGATTGCAGGAGAACAGACCATAGCTCAATTAAAAGTCAGGGGAATGATTGCTCCAGTTGGTTCTTCGCCTACACCTTAGCTATGATGTACATCAAAAGGTTTCGGGCAATCTCAACCAACGTGACGGTTGTCTGGGGGATTCTGGGAGTTGAAGTCCACACATCTTAAAGGGCCGTTTCAACAAATACATTGGCTGACTGGGGAATTCTGGGAGTTGAAGTCCACGCATCCTAAAGTTGGTGAGGTTGAAAAACACAGGTTGGAAAAGGGGCTACCAGCCTCCCCCTTATTTTTGGCCCCTCTAGGACAACTCCGCTCTTGTCCTGCAAGGGCTAAGAAATTTAAACACGCCAAAGGAAATAATTTTTCTCACTTTTCGCCCTTCTTCTTCAGCCTGCAACTTTGTCTGCCATGTTTCCTGTGCGTCTGGAGCCTCCATCTGCCCCATGCCCCCGGAGCAGCTGCAGAAAACCCTGGGGGTGAATCCGGTGAATGGAACTGGCACCGCCTTTGAGGGGTATTTGTCGGTAAGAAACTGGGTTTCCATCCTTGCATAGGGCAGATAGGATAGGATAGGATGGGATGGGATGGAATGGAATATAGAATAGAATAGAATAGAATAGAATAGAATAGAATAGAACAGAACAGAACAGAACAGAACAGAACAGAACAGAACAGAACAGAACAGAACAGAATAGAATAGAATAGAATAGAATAGAATAGAATAGAATAGAATAGAATAGAACCTCCAAGGGACCTTATTATTCTACGTTCCATGTTCTAAGTGGATCTCCTGCTCTGCTGGAATGAAAATATTTCCTGGACTTGCACCTGCTAACTCTCGGGAAAACCAATTTGCCTGTTTCTCTTCTTATCCAAAGGTGCCCAAGCCCTCCGGGGTGAGGAAGGGCTGGCAGAAGGCCTTCGTGGTCATCAGTGACTTCAAGATTTTCCTCTTCGACGCCTCCGAAGGGAAGATCTCACAGGGTGTCATGCATGTCACAGATATGCGGTGAGTGTATCCATGATGGGGAATTCTGGGAGTTGAAGTCCACAGACTAGAACACTGGGCCATATTTCACAAAATGAAATTCAACGTAGAGAAAAGTAAAGTCTTATACTTAGGCAAGAAATACCAAAAGGACACATAGAGACTGGATGAAACCAGGCTTAGTAGCAGTAATTGCGAGGGGGATCTTGGAGTCTTAGGGGACAACCAGGTAAACGTGAGCCAGCCGTGTGCAGCAGCAGCCAAAAAAGCCAATGCAATCCTAAGCTGCATTAACAGAGGGACACAATCGAGATCAAGAGAGGTACTAATACCACTCTATAAACCCTTAGTAAGGCCACACCTAGAGTACTGCATCCAGTTTTGGTCGCCACACTATAAAAAAAAGGTTAAGACTCTAGAAAGAGTGCAGAGAAGAGCAACCAGGATGATGAGGGGACTGGAGGCTCAAACATATGAAGAACATTTGCAGGAACTGGGCCTGGCTAGTCTAGGGAAGAGAAGGACCAGGGGAGACAGGAGAGCATCTTCCAATATTTGAGGGGCTGCCCCAGAGAGGAGGAAGGGGGTCAAGCTATTTTTCAAAGCCCCTGAAGGCCAGAGAAGGAATAATGGATGGAAACTGAACCAGGGGAGATTCAACCTGGAAATAAGGAGGAATTTCCTAACAGGGAGAACAATCAACCCATGGAACAGAAGTTGCCTTCAGAAGTTGTGGGAGCTTCATCCCTGGAGGCTTTCAAGAAGAGACTGGGCTGCTATTTGTCAGAAATGGTGTAGGGTCTCCTGCTTGGACTAGATGACCTACAAGGTCCTTTTGAACTCTGGTTATCTGTTATCACCCCTCTTAAAGCATGCTGGCTGGGGAATTTTGGGAGTTGAAGCCCACACATCTTCCAGTTGCCAAGGTTGAGAAGCTGTGGGTTAGATTTTTGGCTGCCTTGTTAGATATCTTGGGCAAACCCAGTGGTGATTCGTAGAGTGGCTGAGAGGAATGTTGAGGCTTGGGTCAAATTGGTGGGCCAGATTAGACTCCTGGGATGGAAATTCCCAACCTCTGTGATGTTGCACTTAGCCGTTTTCTCTATCCACTTAGACTAAAACGATGTTGAGACTCTAGAAAGAGTGCATAGAAGAACAACAAAGATTATTAGGGGTCTGGAAGCTAAAACATATGAAGAACAGTTGCAGGAATTAGTAATGGCTATTCTAATGGAAAGAAGGACTGGGGGGGACATGATAGCAGCCTTCCGGTATTTGAGGGGCTGTTATAAAGAAGAGGGGTCCAGCTATTCTCCAAAGCAGGGATCGCCAATCTTTTGGATTCAGGGACCACCAACTCATAATTTTAAATCCCAGGGACCACTAATATGAATTTTGACTGGCGGTGACTTGCTGACAGTGGGAGAGAGAGAGAGAGAGATCTGATCGAACCTCTTTCTCCCTCCCTCCCTCTCTCTCTGTCTCTCTCTCTCTCTCTCTCTCACACACACACACACACAGAGGCAGGGGTGGGATTCAAATATCTTAACTGGTTCTGTGGGCGTGGCCTAATTTGTGGGTGTGGCTTGATGGGCATGTGACCGGCTGGGCATGGCTTGTATGTAAATAGTGTAAATATTTATGTAAATGTTGAATTTTTTATAAAAAGAGAGCAACTTTTACCCAAAATCAGGAAAAGCAGGCAGACAGATTGAGTTGCTCACAGAATCACAGATTCGCTCAGAGATCTATCTTTCTGCCATTGGTTACCTGAGTCTTTCACATAAAATTTGTTAGCAAGCAAACTCACAAAATTAACACACAACACCCCATGTATGTAAATATTAAATTTTCTCTGCGGACCACCAAAATTTTCTCTGCGGACCATCGATAGGCTGCGACCCACCGGTTGGCGACCACTGCTCCAAACCACTAAAGGCAGGATCATGAACAATGGATGGGAACCAACCAAGGAGAGATCCAACCTAGCACTAAGCACAAATTTTCTAATAGTGGGAACAATTAATTAGTGAAATGACTTATCTTAAGAAGTCTCCCTCACTAGAGGTTTTCAAGAAGAGGCTGGACAGCCACTTTTCCAAAATGGTACAAGTTCTCCTGCTTGAGCAAGGGATTGGACTAGAAGACCTCCAAGGTCCCTTTCCAACTCTATTATTCTGTTATTCTTAGTCACTCCCCAGGAGGTTGATTTTTTTTTTCTCACTCGTTTTTATCCCGGCGACAGGGATGAGCAGTTTTCCGTGGCTCCTGTCCTCGCCTCCGATGTCATCCATGCTAACAATAAAGATGTGCCTTGTATCTTCCGGGTAAGAACCAGAAGGGGCGAGGGAAGCCCAGAATGGGAATAACTTTGTCCGGTGCTCTCCTAACCCAATGGGGACCTTGCTGATGGTTCGATTTGTGGTTAGTGCAGGACCTCAGAGCCATGAACTGTTGAGTGGCCAGCGAGGGTCTCCCAGCTCACTTGCAAAGACAGCAAGGATCCCAAACTGAGGTTTGTCCATGTGGGGCAGTTGCTGAGTCCCCTCTCACCTTTTTAGAGTTGCTAAGAGAAAGGGAGGGGGGAGCAGTGCGACAGCTTGGAAATCGAAAGTGCATTCCACAAATGTTTTCAAGGATAGTAACTAGTGGTCCAAAGTTTCTACCTCGCAAAATTCTAACTGGAGAGCCTGATTGGTGACTCTGGGCTATGGATGTGTCCCATTGGAGAATATGAATCATGATACACCCAGGGGATTGGGGGGAAAACCAGGGTCAAGGGTGACAGTGAATGATGTGTCTCAGAGTCAGCTGCACCCAGGCAGTGCCGGCATGTTAACTCCCAATAAATCCTTTTGAAGTTTTGGAAGTTTGGCTCGAGACTCGTGATTTAAATGGGGGGTAACTGCCGGAATCCTGACAGAGAGGAGAGCAAAGGAAAGCAATAAGCCAGCTCTCAAGGAAAGGGAGACGTAGACAATAGCCAGACCCTCCCTGGCTGGGAAATAAATAGGAGGGGATTGGGAGCAGCCAGTTGTCACAGACAACCGTTCATTTCTAGTATACAAGCAATTGGGATTTCTTGGATAAACTCAGGTTTCTTGGGACGAAATTACATTTGATTTTTTGTTTATCCCTGTGAATAAAAAGACTGTTACTGCCCTGTTATTTAAAAAAGGGGGTTTGTTTTACTCATGAGTAAATGTCTTATCACTATTTGTGAAAGCTGGGTCAGAGTTTGATTCTTTTCCACCACAACCCAAAGTCCAGAAGCAGCCCCGGCTGCCTTTAACATGCATCCATGTTAAAAAGCGTGGCTCAGTGGCTAAGACGCTGTGCTTGTTGATCAGAAAGGTCGGCAATTTGGCAGTTCAAATCCCTAGCGCCGCATCACGGAGTGAGCCCCCGTTCCTTGTCCCAGCTTCTGCCAACCTAGCAGTTCAAAAGCACATTAAAAATGCAAGTGGAAAATTAGGGACCACTTTGGTGGAAAGGGAAGAACGTTTCATGCGCTTTCAGCGTTTAGTCCTGCCAGCCACATGACCAGGGGGTCTCTTCGGCTTTGTAACGGAGAGGAGCGCTGCCCCCTAGAGCCAGAAATGACCAGCACGGATGTCCGAGGGGAAACTTTAACTTTGACCTTAGATTTGTCTGAGTTCCTGTATGCGATCCGGCTCCTTCTCCCTTGCCGCGTCCAGCTTGGGGCGTGGCCGGGCGACGGCTGGCGTCCTGCTCGCTCACCTCATTTTTTCCGTAGGTGACGTCCACCCAGCTCTCCTGCCCTCCCACCACCAGCTCCATGCTCTTCCTGGCCGACAGCGAGGCCGAGATGCGGAGGTGGACGCAGGTGCTGAGCGAGCTGCAGCAGATGCTGCGACAGAACCGGCACTGCAACCGCTCAGTCTACGTGCTGAAAGAGGCCTACGACAACGGGCTGCCCTTCATCCCGCATGCCCTTTCGGCCGCAATCCTAGGTGCTTCCTGAAATTACGGTTCTAGGGGTTGGAGTGGGTGGGTCTGGTTTCCCCCCACACACACACCCCAGTGCATTGTCTCTGGAGCAAGGGCAATGGCCTTGATTTGGGATGGAGCGCATGAGGGGTCTCCAACCGTCCCGGCTTTATGGATCAATGTGGGAGGTGGGGAGAGAGACGGGATGGTTCTGTGCAAGCGGTGGGCGTGTACACTCTTGTGCATGGCCCCATTTATACAAATAGGCGCACACGAGTGCCACTTGCGCAAACGGAGCTTCCCACCCAAACATGAGCGCGTGGCACACATGCAAACGGAGCTTCCCACCCAAACATGAGCGTGTGGCACACATGTAAACGGAGCTTCCCA